TTTGACCCCTGGAGTTGTGTTTTGACCCCTGAATACGTATCTTGTGTGTGTTCTAAGGTGTCCCCCGTCTACAATATGTCTCCCTCCCTCCCTCCCTCCCTGCAGGATTATGTCTCCTATGTTAAGTTTTCCCTGTTGTATCCACCATCACGTCCTATCGTCTGCTTCCTGCCGTCACACACTTGGGTCATTCACGCAACACCGCTAAGACAGGAGTTCATCCAAAACATGAAGAAGAATACATTTAGTTATCCCAAGTGTGTTGAAGGGGGGAAGAGAGACTTAACGTATGAATACCGCTATTAATGGCAGTCATGTGTTCACGTAAGCTGGATTAAGCTGAGAAGACCTCTGTTAAGAGGGTCCTAAGCTGGGTACACCGTCATTAAGAAGGGGGGTCTCATAAACTGGGAGGACCTCTTATTAAGAAGGCAACTAAGCTGGGAAGATCGTTATTAAGAAGGGTACTAAGCTTAAAACACAGCTATTTATTGGTCAAGCTGTAAATACAACTCTCAGACCTTGCAAGAGAGACGAGTACTGTGGTGGACAGCTTACTCACCACGTAAACAGTGTCCTGGTGCTCGATCACAAGGCAGGATGAAAGTATAGCACCATTCATCGGGGTAATGATAGCCAGTGCGGTTGGCGAATTGTCCGATCATCGTGGGTTATTGTCATACACCTCACTAACTCAAGTGTATAGTTGTTGTATTTGTGGCAACTTTTACACCTTAGTTGTAGTGTAATTGTTGTATTTGTTGCAGAATTTTCACCTCGACCACACATTTAGTTGGCCTTAGAGCTGGTTAGCCTCGAACAAGGAGGAGCAACCAAGACGAGAGAGAGAGAGAGAGAGAGAGAGAGAGAGAGAGAGAGAGAGAGAGAGAGAGAGAGAGAGAGAGAGAGAGAGAGAGAGAGAGAGAGAGAGAGAGAGAGAGAGAGAGAGAGAGAGAGAGAGAGAGAGAGAGAGAGAGAGACGCTATCAGAGGGAGGGAGGGAAGGAGAGAGGTAACAGCACCTAGCACGGAGATCACTACGTCATGTTGCATTAAACATCATGCCTCGCTGACCACTCTCTGCCTGCCCCACCATCACGCCACCTTCACGCCTCTGCTTGCAACCATCATGCTGAACGTGCAACATCCACCCCCACACACCTCCAGGCGTTGGTGTTGTGTCGCGTGATCACACATAATGCAATTAGTCTATGCCAGTGTTACATTGTCTGATCATATAGGTCCACTGGAGTGATGATTTTGCTTTGTGTTGATAATCTAGGAGTATACCATGGTTCTCTCTCTCTCTCTCTCTCTCTCTCTCTCTCTCTCATCTTGGCGTCAAGTACATACAATGGTGATTATTCTGCTATGTCACACGTCATGCCTCTCTCTCTCTCTCTCTCTCTCTCTCTCTCCGTCGACTTTACTTCCTGCTGCATTACCTCCCGAATCGACCGCACACGTAACAGATCTAATTAAACTGCCGTGTGTCATGCGAATTCTCAACGGATATCCTTCATTTCTACAATAGCATAACATTCACTCTACAGGAGATAGTACGTTATATTTTTAGCCTTTGATATTTACCTTATCTCATCCATTATGCACTCTTACATTCACTCTACCTTGACAGTCATCCATTATGCACTCTTACATTCACTCTACCTTGACAGTCATCCATTATGCACTCTTACATTCACTCTACCTTGACAGTCATCCATTATGCACTCTTACATTCACTCTACCTTGACAGTCATCCATTATGCACTCTTGTTCATTTGCGACATCCTTCACTCTTGGTTTATCCTATTCACTATGTTTATTCCGGTCTCCTTCATGCACTCTGGTTTGCGGTATGTGAAGTGTTCTTTTATATAATACGGTATTCTTAACCTATACGAGTAAATACCGAAAGGCCTATACCGTGTTAAATATACTCCCTACCTTTGCCCTCCCGATGGTATATACCTGCACTGCCTTGTCCCTCCTCCATGGTATGTACACCCCCTCCCCCCCTACGGTATATAAAACTACCGATATACCCCGGTAAATTCGCTCCCTCAGCCGTGATTTCCCCCGTTATCAGCCACACACCCCGTCTCGGTAGGTGATTTCAGCCTGGGTCTTTACGTTTTATATATAGAAATTACCGGTGATTTATTTCTGCTGTATTGCTCTCTTATCTGTGGTTTATTACCAATTGGCTGTAGTCTTCGTGTGGTCATATGTGATTTACTGTGAGTTATTGTCATTGAACTTATTATTTCCCGTCCGTGATTTACTTGTTTATCTGCTGTAGTTTCTATGTGATTTACTGATGTATGTTCTTTAGTTTGTAAGGGATTTGAGTTTGTATGCTATTGAATTGTAGTTGTTTTGGTTTGTTTTTATCTGTTTTAGTTTCTTTGTTTTTCTTTGTTTTAGTTTATTCATTTGGGTTTATTTTTTTATTTTTTTTTGTGTCTTTGCTTTGGGTGTATTTGTTTTATTTTCTTTGTTTTGGTTTATTTGTTTTAGTTTATTTGTTTCTATTTGTTTTGGTTTAATTGTTTTGTTTTTTGGTTTGTTTTCGTTATTTGTTTTGGTTTATTGTTTGTTTTAATAATGTCCTTGCATATGGGTGTAGGTAGAAAGTATAGCATATGTAGTTTATATGTAAATCACTTGTATTTCTTCTACGGCTATTAAGTGATTTACCTGCAATTACCATATAGTTGAGTAATTACCCCAAATCACATAGCTACCTGGTGATATATCGTCAATTAACCGGTGATTTTGTGGTTACCGGATACCTGTCGACTCGTAAATTAATCTGCCAATGACATGAAGGTGAATACTTGTGGTAAAAGTTTATTACCTTACGAAAAAAATTATATCTTATGATAAACTTTATTATCTTACGACATTTTATTACCTTACGACAAACTACCTTACGACAAACTACCTTACGACAAACTACCTAACGACAAACTACCTTACGACAAACACAAACTACCTTACGACAAACTACCTTACGACAAACTACCTTACGACAAACACAAACTACCTTACGACAAACACAAACTACCTTACGACAAACTACCTTACGACAAACTACCTTACGACAAACTATCTCACAGCAGTAAATTGGTTATCTAACAGCAGAAAATTGTCTGAAGGTCGTAACTAACGTTTTTCTTTGGCCCAAACTGTAGTATACCTGCGTGTTAAGTGGAGTCCCCATCATCGTGACAGTATTGCAATAGGAATATGTCAATAACTAGAGGTGATTGATATGGTGATTTGCAATAGTGATATTAGGTTATTGAGAAAGTTATTTGTGTTGTGTAGAAATAGTGTGTGTGTGTGTGTGTGTGTGTGTGTGTGTGTGTGTGTGTGTGTAAGTTGAAGGTAGAATAGCCGGGTTAGGTTAGGTTAGGTTTTAATACATCAGATGAGTGGAAATAGATGGAGAGAAAACTTGTTGTAGGAGTTAATGAACCGTAGTTGTTTATGGTGCTCGACGCCTTCTCGCCACACGCTCACACACCCGCCCACATCCGCTGCCCACACCCGCCGCCCACATCTTTCACACCCTCCCCCACACCTTCCACCCACACCCTATCCAGACTTATTTATAATCAAACCTTACACCACCTCTTACTTTCCTTCTCCTCTTCTTCCTCCCCTCTTCCTCCCTTCTTCCTATTCCTCCCTCCCTCCCTCCCACCCCCTCCTCCTCCCCCCCGCCACAATTTGCCTGGCCGTATCCTGGTCCACTAGAGTCTATGAGGCGGCCATTTTGAGCTCTTCCACAAACTTTCCTGGAAACGTTGTCCTATTTTTTGTCCATTGTGATGCTGTTTTAGGGGTAATAGTTCTGCCAACTTGTGGTCCACCAACCTCGCCTCGTGTCACGGGGGGGGGGAGGAGTGCAAGAGATGGGAAGAGTTGGGGGAGGGAGGAAGTGAACGAGGGTTAGGGAGAGGAAGAGGAGGGGGGTGTGTAAGAGATGGGGAAGGAGTGAGGAAGGGAGGGAAAGGGGCGGGTGGAACAGAGAGGATGGTTATATATATATATATATATATATATATATATATATATATATATATATATATATATATATATATATATATATATATATATATATATATATATATATATATATTATAAATATATATATATGTGTGTGTGTGTGTAACCGCTTATCAGGCGATTAGAGGATTTATTGAAACTTGTAACGCTGGACTCAAACATTATAATTGGGTCAAACCTGTTGGATACAATTCCTTTTAGTATTTCACATAAAACATACATATGCAATCACATAAATGTCTAATCCAATATATATTTACATAACAGTCATAGCTATGTAATCAGTCTAATCTTAACACTTATAATGAGTACTTAAGTTTCCATATTATTATGTCGTCACAATGATAAACGAAGCAAAGGACACAGTCTACCTGTGTACACAATAAGAACCAGTTAAACTTACGTGTTGAAAGTCTCAAGAGAAACCAGGTTAGGTGTTGCCTCTGTGGTCTGAATAGCTACAGTGATACTCAACTGCCGCCTCACCAACCCTCTCTCGATGGGTGAGGGCTGCTGAGTCAGGCGATTATACACAAACAAGCTCCCTTACTACCACCCAACACCTCACCTCCTCTAGGTCTCTCATCTTCCACCATCTCAACACTCTACACACTGTATACGGGCAGGCACACCCAATAAACATGACATGAGTTACAGCCTAACATAACATTTGTTTATATATCATCATAATTATGTACCGCTTGCGGTAACAATATATATGTATATATATATATATATATATATATATATATATATATATATATATATATATATATATATATATATATATATATATATATATATATTTACACACAAATGTTATATATTTACCCACATGCTGAGGTAATATTCACATAATAAATGTTTATATGTGTTTTGTTTACGTCATGCATCTAACAAGTGTTTTTTTTTGTTCTTGGACAGATGATCAAGGCGATCCAGGTGCTACGTATCCACCTGCTGGAGCTGGAGAAGGTGCAGGAGCTGTGTAAGGACTTCTGTAACCGCTACATCACCTGCCTCAAGGGGAAGATGCAGAGTGAGAACCTCCTGAGGACTGAGTATGGCTACGACTCCCCGGGCTCTCCTGATGGTGGCAGCCCCTACAACGGCCACCACCAGCTGCACATGGCCCACCCACACCCACAGGTTAGGTCATCAGCCCCTTGTTTTGACACCCTCTCTGTCTCACCTTCACCCACAGCCTTCACCACCACCCACACCCACCCACAGGTTAGGTCATCAGCCCCTTGTTTTGACACCCTCTCTCTCACCTTCACCCACAGCCTTCACCACCACCCACACCCACCCACAGGTTAGGTCATCAGCCTTTTGTTGTGCACCCCCCCCCTCTCTCTTACCTTCACCCATTTACACCCACATCCTTCACCGTTCACCCACCTACACCCACACCCACCCATACCCTCACCCATCACCGCCACCCACACCCTCACCCATCACCGCAACCCACACCCACAGGTTAGAATATCAAGCCAATGTCAGGTTCGGCTCTAGACCTCAAATTTGACCGATGTAATCGTTCACTCCGCAACGCCGTATTTTTAATCTTTTACTTTTATCCTCTTCACCACTGATCGGCTCGTTAGCCGCTTGGGTGGTCGGTCGCATCTCTGCTACACACTGTTGACAGGTACTGGGCTGACACTGGCTCCTGAATGTACCTGAACCTGCTCCAGTGTTGGTTAAGTCTTGTACACACTTGAAAGAGCTCACACTCGGTGCCGTCACAACACTCTCTGGCAGATTGCTCCAAGAGTTCACAACTCTCACACCGAAAAAAGTTTGCCCTTACAGTTTTCTGGACTTGTGGCTTCTTCAACCTTGAGCTGTGACCCCTTGTGGGGCGAGCCTCCGCCAGCTCCAGGTATGGACCCTCGACTCGGTAGTCACCCCTCGTTCTAATCTCTTGAGTAGCTGAGGTGCCGTAGTGCAGGCAACAGTCTGGAGGCCCTTTGGACATTTTCAATCAACTGACAGTCTCTCCTTTTGTCGGCCACCAGACGGGGTTTTATCTTTACAACCAATGGTTAAGACAATTCTAAGACACCTTTCTTCTATGACGTTTCCCTTGCAAACGACCTAAAACCGAGATATTTAATATGCCAGGGTCCGGGAGGCGGAGTCCACTTGTTACGGGTAAAAGTGGAGGAAAGTGACGGAAGAAAATCGTATGTCACTAATGCGGTCAATTTATGGAAGAGGATATAACTCGATATTTGTTTGTTTTGTGTTCTTGTAATGATAATTGTCCCCATAACTGAGATATCGGGAGTTGAAAATCAGAAAACTTGCCACTCAGGTACAGAAAGTGACAGCTACGGTCAGAAGCTGGTGGGCCATACAGGTCAGCACTGACAATGAGATCACGTCACCGATAGCCGATAGGTCAATTTGATAGACGCATAATACCTTTGCATCGGTCACATTTTTTTCTGAGTGAAGCAAGTACATCGGTTGTATCGGTCTGTATCCGGTCCTGAGAGTGACCCAACCCACACCAAATCTTTCACCCACACTCATACCTATACACCCACACCCTCCACCCACACTCAAATCCACACCCTCCACGCACACTCAAACATCCTCCACCCACACTCAAACCCACACCCTCCACGCACACCCAAACCTTCACCCACACTCAAACACCCTCCACCCACTTCCTCCATCTACACCCACACCCTCCACCCACTTCCTCCATCTACACCCACACCCTCCACCCACATATTTCTCCACCATCTTTATTCTAATACCAACAATCATTATACAGTACATTTTTCATCATATTGTTAATTGTTATTATTATGCTTTGTGAAAATTCATTATTATTTTTTATACATGTGCCTATTTTAATTTCACTTGCCCTATTTTCTTGATACCATCCCTATTTTTTCTCTATCACCTGTCCAATTAGTATCTATTTACTTATTTTTAACTGTCCAATTACCTTTACCTATTTCCTTCTTTGTGTCCTATTGTCTCTACCTATTTCTTTCTCACCAATTTCGTTACTTCTACTTTTCCTATTACCTGAGTCTACCTCTGTACTTCCCCTACCTGTCCAATTACCTGATCAATTACTTTCATCTGTTTCCTTTTCTACCTTTCCTATTAATTCCTATTTGCCTATTTATTTCCTTACTTGTCCAGTTACCATCTTCTACACATTTTACCCCAATTTAGCCTCACCAGTTATCACCCTATTTTTTGCTCTCCCAATCGCTCTCCCTATTTTGATTTCTTATCACCAGCTCAATTTCTACCCAATTTGCTTCCTTCATATTACCTATCCAATTACTACACTATCTTACCCTTTACGCTGCCCATTTTCTTCCCCATTTACCACCCTAATAACTTTCGCTTACATCGTTAATTGGTTTTCTTATATTCCTGTCCGATTGCAACCCTATTTCCTTCCCTCACACCAGCCCAATTACTATACCCCACCATTCCTGTCCAATTACTGTCCAAATACCAATTTCCTGATCTTTGTACCACTTGCCTTATTACTTTTTGCCCCATTTATTACCTATTATTCACCTCCCTATTCCCCGCCTCGTTTACCCAATTACAATCCTCTCCTCATACCCCTCCCTTCCTATTTTACCCAATTACCAACCTATTCCTTCAAAATCTTCCCCATTAGCCCATTACATACCTATTAACTTCGTATAACTTGCTCACTTACCGAATTACAAACCTATTTCTTGCCCATTTGCTATTTCCCTTCCCATTACAAATCAAATCTATTCCTATTACTTGCCTATTTGTCCTTAATATCCTCTCCACCCTATTTCCCTTCCCTATTTATCATGTCCTATTTTCCACCCTATTCTTATCATTATCACCAATTATTTGTATTTCAACCAATTTTTATGTGTCTTTTTATGATATATATTGCATGTATATATGTATGTGTTATTTATGTGTTATGTGTTACGTGTTATAGGGAGTTACGTGAATAGTTAGTGACCAAAATAATACCTTTTTCGGTTCTCTTTTCCAATGGTTCGTAAGTTAATTTTTGTCCTTTGAATTAAGTTAAAAAAAATGTATTTAAAGTTCGAGTCTTGGTGAAGTTTTGACGCCATTTTGTTTCCATTTTTTTTGTCCCATAGTTTATTTTTTTAATTGTTTGTAAATAAGTTTGATTTTTAATTTATTTTTTGATGTAAAAAAAATCCCTACGGTAATTTTTTTTAACAAACCAGTCAGGTCAAGATAGGCAGATATTGAGCTAGCTGACGCAAGTATGACATTAACTTACGAATCTTTGAGAATATTGATCCTTGTTGATATTTATGGTAACACTGCTATAGATTGGGGCATAATACACTGATATTTGAGGGGGGTTTAAATTTAACGTGGGGAATATTTTAGGTGTTTCTGATGTCCGCGAAATTAATATCCGATGAAAATTAAAATAGTTTTTTATATAATTTTTACGTTAATAAAATAATAGATTTGTAAATATTCAATAATTTTTAGGAAACTTTTGATTATAAACTTTGCCTAGTGTATTAACAACCTCTTGAGTACGATGATTTAATCCCATGAGTGCGGTGTTATTGTACTCAAGAGGATAAGATATCGTATATAAGGGATTCAGTATTGTACTCAGTTAAATCGTCGTACTCAGGGGTAAAAATATCGTACTCAATGAGCTGATTTATGGTGGTGGTTGATTGTGATGGTGGTGGGTGTTAGGGCGTATCCAGGACTCTCTTTAAGGGGGTGTTAAGGGGGAGTTAAGGGGTTGGAGGGGGGTGTCAGCGAAGTTCCATCACCATATAGGAATTATTTAGTATCTGCATTAGAGTATTATGAGATGGTGTTTAGTCTTATTTTGGTGTGTGTGTGTGTGTGTGTGTGTGTGTGTATATATATAATAATAATTAACGGTTTATTGAAAAAGTTCTGCAGCCCGAAGGCTGAAAATATACATTGGACATAAATGACTTATTACATACATTGGTGGTTTAACAAAAGCCTTCATTAGAGAAAGGTAAAGGAACATACAGTGAACATACAGATTAATGTAGGTGTTGAACAGCAAACACGTAGTGTAGTAACTCCCTCCCAGATGGTGTTAGGAGGGACCTCACGTGGTGTAGTAGTTCCCTCACAGATGGTGTTATGAGGGCCTCACGTGGTGTAGATACTCCGTGGTGTAGTAATTCCCTCACAGATGGTGTTATGAGGGGCCTCACGTGGTGTAGTAATTCCCTCACAGATGGTGTTATGAGGGGCCTCACGCGGTGTGGTAATTCCCTCACAGATGGTGTTATGAGGGTCCTCACGTGGTGTAGTAATTCCCTCACAGATGGTGTTATGAGGGGCCTCACGTGGTGTAGTAATTCCCTCACAGGTGGTGTTATGAGGGGCCTCACGTGGTGTAGTAACTCCTTCACATATGGTGTTATGAGGGGCCTCACGTGGTGTAGTAATTCCCTCACAGATGGTGTTATATGAGTGAGGTGTGGTTCCAGGCCTTCCTATCGTAGACAGATTAACACATCGCTGGTAGTTGGGTCTCACGGGCCGTTATCACTGGGTACCTGGGACCTCACTGTGTGAAAGGTCAACTTGGGTACCACTGTTACTGTTGAGTTGTTCTCACTGACTTAAGCACTGTTCACCTCTGTTTAACACTGGTTCCATTTCTTTCCTAAATGAAATAGTAACTTCTGGCGTGAACTTGTTGATATTCCGGTGGGGAGGAGGGTTCAGGGGAGGGAGTTGGTATGGGCCAACATAACAGTTGACCTGGCTGCTCCGAGGAGCGCCAGGTACGTCTTGACCCTTCGGTGGTCAGGATGTAGTGTGTGTGTGTGTGTGTGTGTGTGTGTGTGTGTGTGTGTGTGTGTGTGTGTGTGTGTGTGATACTGTCTTGAATAATGGATGAAAATTTATTGTCTTTGTTTTTTGGGGTTTTGTTTTAATGTGTGACGTTTCCATCTACCTACTTTCTCACTCGTCTACTTCCCTACACACCTACTTTCTCACCCACCCTTACCCACTCACTCCACACACACACACACACCCACTTTCTCACCCACTCAATCTCCATCCCGCCCACTTCCTCACACTAACACCCCACCCCACCCCACCCCCACCTACCCACCCCACCC